CCGGCCGTCCGCGGCCTGCCCGCCTGACCCGCCTCCCCGAGCAGCCGCTTTCCCGCCCCCCGGGGCCCTCGCCCAGCGCCTGCCTCTGCGGGCCCCGCGGGCTAGGGGCTCGGCGGCATGGAGAAGTACGACGACCTGGGCCTGGAGGCCAGCAAGTTCATCGAAGACCTCAACATGTACGAGGCCTCCAAGGATGGGCTGTTTCGGGTGGACAAGGGCCTGGGCAACAACCCCGAGTTCGAGGAGACCCGTCGAGTGTTTGCCACCAAAATGGCCAAAATCCACCTGCAGCGACAGCAGCAAGAGGAACTCCTTGCCACTGCCTCTGGCTCGCTCAACGGCGGCATCGGATTCGGCACCCAGCACCAGCCTCCCGGCATCCCTGTCCACCGGGTGGCTCCTGGCAAATCGCATGGGGGAGACCATATGGCCAAGCCACCCCTGGCCACCTCGCCGGCCGCGTCTGTCTGTGCAGCCCATCAGCTGGCTTTTCCCAGTGAGCCGCAGATGCTTCCCGAGGGACAGCGTGCCAGGTTAGGCCACGATGGCAAAAGAGCCAGTGGTGAATATGGCTGTAGTGAGGGGCTGGACAATTCTGAGCTCTCTGGAGGACATGGGTTTCACCAAGTGGCGAATCCTGGTGCTGCCAGACCATCTTTCCCTTCTCTTTCTCACGGAGAGTATTGCAACGATGAGGGCCAAACAGGTCTGCGGGGTTGGGGAGGAGACTCTGACAAGCTGTCCATGCCGAGGTCTGGTATAGGGAGTACGTGGTCAAATGTTAATCGCAGTGATCAGTTACCAAGGAGCCCCACAAAGCCCCAAGCTGATCCTCACCTTTACCAGCATCAGCAGTCCCTAGGCTCCTGCCAGTCTTCTGAGAGTGGGTACGGGAGCCCAGAAAATGGGAGTGAAGGCAACAGACTCAGTCAAGGCTATGATCAAAAGCCAGCTAGTCAGAGGTCTTCCTCTTTCTCTCACACTCCAACAGCCTTGACCTCCTCGACAGGGTTTGAGGACCAGGCCAGAGCAGGACTTCCGCAGCAGAGATCTTCCTCTTTTTCAGTCCCATCAAAATTGCCTGCTCAGGGTTTTTCAGCTCATTCTGATCCGTACAACACAAATGCCAGAGCAGAGATGCCAGCCTCAGGCATCTCAGACAAAACGAATGATAACAACCAGTTATGGTACCACGACCATCCTAGATCCTTCTCTTCCAGTCCAGCTTCTGCTCCGTTGCCTCCAGGTGTGGACTATCAGCAAGCCAGTGCTTGTCCCAGCTCCACTGGCCATTTCATAGTTCATGGTCAAAATCACAGGCTTACTTCCACTGGCTGTGGCATAAGTCCTGAGCAGACTTCCACTGGCATAGCTTCACATGGGCCAATGATTTCTGATGCTCCAAAATCTCCATTTAAAGAGGGCATAAACAGTCTGCCATCTGACTCTGGGCATCAGGAAAACTCCAGTTCTACAAAAGTAAAATTACCGTGCCAAACCCTCCTTCCACAGCAGGAGCAAGGGCCATCTGTAGCTGAATTAAAAGTAGAAGCACTTACCCAGCGTCTGGAGCAGGAGATGGATGCTCGTCCCAAGGCTGATTACTTTGGTAAGTATGTAGTCCTGCAGTTGCAATCTGGAAGTTTTTAACAACGCCTTTGACAGAACATTATGCTGTGGGGTTCATACCTTTAGGGACTGCTTCCCTTGGTTTGCTTGCTATTTTTTTTGGGTTTTGGTGGTCATGTATTTTACCTAAGGGTCATTTATCATAGAAATGAAAGTTATTTTGACCCTAAAACATTTTCTTAAGATGTAAAAACAAACCTTACATAGCGGCTTCAGGTAAAGTGCTGAAGCAGGGTGGCATAGAAGGGTTGTGATTTTTAAAGCATCCTGTGTTTAATTTTATAGTTGGTTGCAGCTTAATGTCTTAAGAAATGGCTTTGTTTCTCTAAAAATAACATTAAACCTGTTTAAATTGAAAAGTAGTTTTATTCCGTCACAAAGTTGGATGAAGTCTTATAAATGTTCAATGACTGGAACTGTTTGGTCAGAAGGAGTGTGGCACCGGTGATGTCCAAATTAATGAACTGGCAGAGATGATTGGCAGGACAGAGTATAGAGGCGCAGTGACAATTGCCTCATATTATGTCATTCACAAAATATGTGTAATGTACTTACAGTAGAAAGGCTCTGGTCGGGGGGGTCATGGCATTGTCTGATCTGGAATGCTGAGTGCCCTTAACCTTCGCTGATGAAGGAGAGAAGCAGGATTAGTTTTTAATGGTTTGATTTTTGTCCTTCACTCCTCCCCCAAAATGGTTGAAGCTTCTTTTGATTCCAGGATGGTTTATGAGTTCTGAAAACCAGGCCATAAATATATTGTGCTTTAAGTGTCAGGGTGAGGAAGCTGTCCAGACCATTGCTGCAAGGAATGCTTGTACCTTGCAGGTAAGAGGGAGAGCACTTTACATGTGGGACCAGAATAAAAATTTAAAGTGTTCTGCTGGTTTCAAATGCATTTTTGTATCAAAGGACAGCAAAAACTCTTAACAAGTGAATTGGAGATTCTCTGTCTTCCTCCTCCTCTCAGCTGTCATAGTATAATAAGGTATGGGGTAGTTAGTCTGGTTACCCAGTTCTTGGAAAAAGTGAGTCTGAGCTTGCTTCCAGGGGAAACCATTATGAGCATCTAGCCTTTTACCTGAACGGGAGCATGGCTGGGCCCACTCTGACTCTTTGTTTGTCTTTCCAGTATTAGATGCATTACGGGGGTTGAATCCATGTATCGTCAGCAGCAGTAGATTGAATTCTATGAGAAATCAGTTTGCAACTCTATACAACTTGAGCCATTTGCAGGTTTCAACCTCTGCTGTTTAGTCTTGGTTGTTCATTATCGCCAGGATTGGCAGTAATAGCAGTGGTAAGCTGTACACCGATGACACTTAAGCCGTGCATTCTTGCCAGCATTGCCATGAATTTCACAATGAGCTGCTGTACCAGCTAGAAAGGCTTTACAATTAATATTTGAAGGATATGTCATTATTTCCTCCCCTGGTTAACTTACAATTTACATTAAAATTGTAAGATTAATTGTAAGATTTACATTTA